GAAATGTAATTGCTACTAGATTTTAGAATCAATAGCTATTACGTACTACTAATCCCAAAATAGCATTATCGAAACAACTTAACCATTTAGTTATACACCTAAACAATCAAGAAGAACAAAATAAACTTTTAACACAATGGATTAAACACATTAATCAAGAGAATTATAAAGCACAAATTAATTAAAAATCATAACTCGAGTTTGAAATAATCCCCAATCACAAAATATAATTAGTTACCCATGAAATATCCACAAATAACTAACAATTTCTTACAAAACTTTGATGGAAAAAGTGAAAAGAAAAACTTATTGATAAAGAGAGAAATGGTTGAAAATCTTTCAATATCAATGGGTCATCTTCTCCAAGCTAATGCACCATTTCCATGTTCCAATTTTCCTCAAAATATCTTACAAAATAAAGGTGAAAGGAAAAGGAAAAAAAGAAAGAAAACAATAGACAAGAAGAAGAAGAAGAAGAAGAACTAGCTGCCCCTCTTTGTTCCCAGAGTTCAAGAATTGTGTTTGGTTGAATTTTTTAAACCAAAACCTAAAGAAAATTGCAACATTGGTCCCTGAGATTTTGAAAACAAAGAAAAAGGGCTCGGGTGGCGCCTAGGCTCCAGTACAGTAGCGCTTGGGCGCCACAGTTTCTGTTTCTGCTTGGGCTGGGCGCCGAGGTGCCCAACTCGTTGATTTTTTTTAAAATCTTCTTTCGATGGCATCTTTGGTCGTCTTCTTCGTTTGTCATCATCTTTAGCTCGTTTCTCGCATAAATTCCTTCAATTCATTGTTTAATCTCGAGTTTTAACCTACAAAATAAAAATAAGAAAATTAAGCAATAAATCGCTAATAAAACTCGCAAATATCTAAGTTTAATAGTTCGAATAAGCGCAGTAAACCCACATTTATCAACCTTGACCCAAATTCTGGTGCAATGAACGAAACTCTAAGATTTCAAATTCGTCTGGATCGAAATAGCCAATCTCCTCAACACAAGTACCACAACTCTCCAAACCAAACCATCATCCTCTGTAAGGCATCCAAAAACGACACCTGAACCCAAATTCGGGGTTCCCAAAATTCCACCAAGAAATTACTGTTGACCAAATAGGGTTGAAGCACACCCTTTAGCAGAAACCATACCACATGCTGGATCAAAAGATCCATTGCTAGAACTGTTGCCTTTAACATCCCTAAAAGCATCCTAGACATTATTGACACCACGGTACCTACGCTCCATGAGTTCGACCCTAGCAAATTAACACAGTGTATCGGCTGAAATTGGTGGCAGCGCGGAATCACCAATCCTTCTCTGAGCAATGTTTTGAATCAACTGAGAGCCCGTCATAAGAGGTATTGTACCAAACTGAACATTCACCACGGTACTGAACTTGTCCTGATATCTCTTAACTGATTCTGCACTTCCTCGCAAGATGTACAATTGAGACTTTTTCCATCCCTCTAATACAACTAGGACTCCCATTCGAACTTTCAAAACTCTAACTCCACCAGAGAATTTATACCCTTTTGCATCCAGAATACTAAGTGAGATGAGATTCCTTTTCAGGTTTGGAACATGTTGAACTTGATCAATTGTTCTGATTATCCCATTCCGCAGCCTAAATCTGACTCAACCAACTCCAGCAATACAACAAGACTGATTGTTTCCCATTACAACTTTACCTTTCTGAATAGTCTCATATGTCTGAAAGAAATTTTGATTGAAACACATATGATGTGAACATGTTGAATCGAGAATCCACTTCTCGTTAGGCCTAGATTCTACGTCAAATACCACGATCAACATCTCATCTTCACCATCTGAAAAATCCTTAACTGCATTTGTTTCATCT